AGTGACCCAATAAAATATGAAAAAGCGGTTGAAGATGAAAAATGAAAGAATGCAATGGATAAAAAATTGAATCATTAGAAAGAAATGATACATAGGAGCTAATAAGTTTACCAGAAGATCACAATCCAATTGGAGTCAGATAGGTTTACAAAACTAAGACCAACAAAGAAGGAAAGGTCAAGAAACACAAAGCGAGACTAGTTGCCAAAGGCTACAAACAAAGACAAGGAATATACTATGAATGAGTATTTGCTCTAGTGGAAAGAATCGAGACTATCAAACTTCTCACATCAGTTGTAGCACAAAACAAATGGAAGATTTATCAAATAGATGTGAAGTCAGCATTTTTTAATGGCTACCTAGAAGAAGAAGTTTATATCGAGCAACCACTTGGGTACATTAAAAAAGGGCATGAAGATATAGTGTACTGATTGAAGAAAACTTTTTATGAATTGAAGCAAGCACTAAGAGCATGGAACACGAGAATAGATGAATATTTCCAGAAAAATTGGTTCATGAAGATTTCATACGAGCATGCCTTATACACAAGGAAAAAATGAAGATGGTGATATCATAATCGTGTGCTTATATATGGACAATATGATTTTCATGGGGAATAATCTAGGAGTGTTTAATGATTTCTATAAAGCTATGACTAAAGAATTTGAAATGACAGATAATGATGAAATGACATACTTTCTTGGAGTTGAAGTGAAACAAATGCAAGATGGAATATTTATATCACAAAAAGAAGTATGCAGAGGAAATTTAGAATAAAATATTGCAAGTCGGTAACCACTCCAGTAGAACCAAGTATGAAATTAAGTGTGAATTCAACAAGAGAACTAGTGAATCCGACATTGTTCAAAAGCATCGTTGGAATTTTAAGATTTCTGACTATCACACTACCATTTATTATATACGTTGTGGGATTGGTGAGCAGATTCATGGAGAACCCAAAATAAGATCATTGGATTGTGGCAAAGAGAATTTTGAGATATATCAAAGGTACAACAGATTATGGTTTATTCTACACGCATTCAAAAATTCAAAGTTGATTGGTTATTCTGATAGTGATTATAGGGGATACTTAGATGATCGAAAAAGCACTTTTGGATATCTATTCTACATTGGTTCTGCAGCATTTTCATGGTCATCGAAGAAGCAACAAACAATAGCTCTTTCAACATGTGATGCAGCATATATAGCCACAACAGCGTGCACTTGCCAAGCAATGTGGTTAAAAAATATTTTGAACGAGTTAAACTTGGCACAATAAGAACTGACTACAATTTATGTCAACATCAAGTCTACATTATCTCTTGCCAAGAATCCAGTCTTCCATAATTGAAGCAAGCATATCGATACATGGTATCACTTTATACAAGAGCAAGTGAAGAACAAAAATGTGAAGTTAATTTACTAACGAACTGAAGATCAACTAGTAGACATTTTCACGAATCCATTAAAAGGAGACATATTCCACAAATTAAAAGAAAATCTTGGAATGAAAAATCAGGTTTAAAGGGGAGTGTTAGAAGTCAAACTTGATTTTTGACTCATATGTCGGCAAGATTAAGGTGGTTAGGCTAGATGTTTCTTGATTAATGAAGCAAGATCTTACTTAAGAAATAAGGATGCAAAGTAAACATGTTGAAATGAGTTGACAAAGAGGTAACGTAGAATCAATTAAAGCAAATGGAATTTCATTAAGATAAGCAACTCCATGCGGCAAAAACAAAGAAATGAAGTGGCAGCAATTTAAGATTCCAAAAAGATAAGAAATAACAAAGTTTGAAAATGTGTTAAAATTCCAAAAAGATAAGAAATAACAAAGTTTGAAAATGTGTTAAAGGTCCATGTTTTGGCAACATATGCAAGAAGTAATTGGTTGCAATCAAAGCCTTCATGAGGCGGTTACATACCCTTATAAATATGTGTCCTTAGCATTAGTTTATATGCATGAGTATGTGAATGAAAAAAACATTGAGTGTAAGGTAAAAAAATGAGAGTGACAGAGTAGAAGCTTAGCAAAGCTTTGATAGTGAGGTTGTGTTTGTAAACTAACCACAACTAGTGATTGTATCGTGTTTGTATTTTAGTTCGTCTTAATAATAACGTATGAGTTATAAAATTACCAAGTGTCCATTTACGCTTCCAACATGTCTCACCTCTTCATAAAATTCACCTCTAGTTCAATGACAATTCTTAAACCTTAACTAAGTAGTCTCATTTCAACTATCATCGAAATTAATTTTAATATTAATATCATGTCATGTGTATAGGTACCTAAGGATAGGTATCAATATCTAATCTCAAGTATCGATAGTCATATAATATTATACTAGAAAAATAAATTTTTATTTGACATATTTTCTTAAGTTAAAATTTTACCCCTCAACTTTTAAAGTTTTACAAAAAGGTCACTACCTTCAACAACTATTTTGCAATTCATTGGTTTGAATCTTCATTCGATTTAATTACTTAGTTGTCATGTGATTGCATGATAAATACATTTGTGCCCTTGTATTCTTTCAATGACTTTATATTTTCAATTTAGTCCTGATACTATTTTGATAATCAAATATGACACCTCTTATTCGGTTAAATAAAGGGTTGTAAAGGAGCGAGTGAGCTCCAATATTGTTGAACTCAACTCAACTCGAAAACTCACGAACTTAAAATTGTCAAGCTTAACTCGAAAGCTCATAAGTTTAAAATTTTCAAGTTCGACTTAAAATAAAAAAATTGAAGCTCAACTCGAACTCGAAATATTTTCAGGCTTAACTCGATTGAAGCTCAACTTGAACTAAAAATATTTTCAGACTTAACTCGATTGAAGCTCAAACTCGTATTTGAATCTTAAGTACATAAAAGCCTTATATTGTATTTTTTTAAAAAAAAAGAACATGTAAATATTGATATTATTAATAATTTAATTTTAAAAATAAATAAATAATATATTATTTTTCAGAGTTGTTTGTGAGCTTTTCGAGTCAGGTATCAAGTAACTCGCTTCGGCTTGACAATAATTCGAGTCGAATTCAAGCTCAAGTCGTCCATTCGATTCTAGAATTAACTAAACTTTAACCAAGTTGGTATCGAATAACTCGCGATTTGTCTCGTTTCATTTACGATCCTAATGAAATGTTTGAATCGAGTAGAGAATGCTTCATAAGCATAGATACCTAAGCTTTTTAAATAGTGAAATCGTGACTACTAACTAATTTGGTCGGTAATTTAGATGTCAGATTAAATTGCACAATTTATACATTTTTTTAATCATGCTTAGACATATAAGCGTTATTTTTTTTAGAGAAGTCAGATAAGTGTTATTTTGAATTTACTTCAAGAGTGTTTTGTTTAAATTTCCTTTATTTTAGTTATTCTACTTTTCTTGTTTCCTTGTAATTTAAATTAACTAGGATATCTTTTTATTAGTTATTTTTTTTACATTTTCATGAATGTGATTGAAGAATCTATATTTATGATACATCGTCTTCGTACGAATAAACCAAAGAACATTGTGTTAGACGAAGCTTAGCAGGAAATTCAAAAAGTCGTAAGGTGCGATAGTTCAGAGGATTGTCTGTTTCGTGATTGTCCAAAATCAGGACGAACGTATAATTTTATTTTAGAAAGGGCGAACTTCTAAAATTTTAAGAATGGATGAACTTATAAAATTTTTAAGGTGATGAAAACAGATTTTTAATAGAAAATACATTAAAACTCTAAAATATGGGATAATTTTAAATTTTGGTTTTTTTTGGGGGGGTGGGGGTGGGGGGAATCCCTATCCAGAATCAAGGAGTTTATTAGGGCCGGTCGCCCAATGGAGGCAACTGTGATCACTTTCGTTAACGAATGGATGAGCTTTTAATCTATGGGAAGAAAACATACATGTGTTCCTTGGCCTAGTTGTTTCGGTTTTGTTTGCTGGTACATTTTAGAAACAGATGTATATTTGAAGGCCTAACATCAATACTAGTTTGCATGGAATCACGGACTATATATATGGAGCATAGGGCGACAGTGTCCTATGTGTGCAGGTGACAAGCATAGAGGGGGGAAAATGTGAGATTTACTCGCTTCTTCAACTAAGAAACTTAGCCGAGGCCCCGCTTTTTTAGACCATCCTCCTCACTAAGTGGTGGATGGAAGCAATGTGGTGTAACCATGGATGCTGTTCAAATGAACCACCGGAAAGTTGCTACCATGTCCTACCAATATCCAAGAGATAAACTAGTGGATTAACGAAACATGTTCTTTTGCTACTATTGCTACAATCTGTGGTTCTATCGTTCAGACACGTAAATCTACAACATTCAGTTCAGATGAACCACCAAAAAGGTACAACCATGCCCTACCAATAGTGAATTAAGGGAACTAATTCTCTCGCTACTATTTCAATAATCTATCATGGCATTGTCCGGAAACTGTAACTCTACAAAATGCAGTTCAAATGAACCACTGCAAAGGTGCTAGCATGTACTACTGATAAACCAGTAGATAAACTAGTGGCGTAAAGGAACATGTTCATTGCTACTATTCTTTACATGAAACATATCCTCTCAAATAATCATTCAAACAATCTCTTGTGAATGCATCTTATCAAAAATAAGTTTAACATCAAGAAAATGAATTGGAAACAAAAGACCTTTTAGATAGCTTTTGCACCAGCTCTTAGCTAATGTGTAGTGCCAAAAAATGTTATCGTTTGGTTAACCCAACCGGTAAACCATGCTAATAGTGATCAAATTAAGCATATCCACCCATCACTTCAACCAAAAAACAACCATGATGCAAGCCATTTTCCAGTCCATGAAACACACAACAGAGACCCTATCAAAATGCCATTTTCATCACACCCACGTGAAAGGAAGAACCTATAGATGTACCAGAAAGTAAATGCAGCTACATGATAGATGCTAGTGCTATATATACACCTAACCAAAAGCATATGAAAAAATAATAAAAAAGATTTCATTAAACTCAAATTAGTAGCAAAACAACCAATATCATAGAATTGATACATGATGGTGCTAAATTGGAAACCTAATCAAAACCCATAAATTGAACAAAACAACACATTTCATTTTTTAAACTTCAATCAATACCCAAACAACTAACATAAAATAGGACCGAGGGTTTTATAAGTCATTAACATTTTTTGTATGTGCATGTCAATCAAGGCCTTCTTTCAATACAGCCCTCATCGTCCTTGAAATTTAAAACACCAATTTTGCGTGAAAAAATGTCTCTCTTCAATCAATATCTCTATATTAAAACTTTGTTCCTGAAATGCCAACACCAAATGTGAATACCAGTTTGTCATGTAAATAAAATATTCTTCGATCCAACCAAAGTCCAAATTTGTATAAATTCAGTTGATTAAATATATTAAATCTCAAAAATTAACTGAGAGGTTATGTAACGGACCTCAATTAACTCTGGATCTAATTTGAAAACACGCAATTCAAATTAAGAAGGGGAAAATTATAATCTCGTTGAAGGAAATGGAAATGTAGCATTTTAGTAAAGGCACACCTACGTCTGTTTGGAATAAGAGGAAGAGGAAGAGGAAGAGGAAGAGGAAGAGGAAGGGACGCGTTTGTTACGGAACATCATGTATCCGACGGGCAATACGACTCCGATCATCATGATAGCTACTCCGATGATATATCTTAACGGATTCGGTGGTTCAACCTCTATCATTGTTTTCAACTGCACCGAAGGCAATCGTAACCCAACATTAACCATCAATTTGATATGCAATTAAAGAAAAAAAAACATCATTATGAACTTCGAGATCTTTATCGAACCGTGGAAGGAGACTTACGGGCATTATTTTGGGGGCTTCCTCTTCGAGTATAACTCTGGTTCGAAACGCAAAGGATTTGGGAAACCGGGCGAAGAAATGAAAGGAACTAACAGAGGAGAAGATTTGGGGATAATCTGGAAAATCTGGATCTCTTGGGTTCGTAATTCTCAACTGTTATTATTGTTAGGGTAAATTACATAAATGGTTCCCTTACTATAGAGTACTATTTTTTGAGTCCCTCAACTATTAAAAACTATAAAATGATCTCCAATTATAAGGAATTGCTTTATTGAGTCCCGACTATTAAAAGTTATGAATTAGTCACCTGACTATTCATATATTCCGGACTAATCATTTTTCGTTAAAAAATTGATGTCAATCTAAGAAAAATGTTAACTTACTGATTGTGATATGATAAAATTTGATCACATAAATCTCAAACAACTATGCAGCTCAAACGGTTCTGGGATTAGATGTTATCATATCTCATTCAACATGTTATTGTCTAGATAAGATGATCGTCAATTTTTTAACGAAAATGACAAGTTTAAAACATATGAATAGTCGATTGACTATTTTGTAACATTTAATAGTTAAAAGATTCAACAAAATAACTCTCTATAATTGAGGATCATTTTATAACTTTTAAAAGTCAAATAACTCAACAAAATAATATTATATAATCAAGAGATTATTTGTGTACTCTACCTAAACTTTTAAAGTGTTTTTATTCTATTAATTAAAATTAAAAAATATTAAATTTATTATTATTTAATAATTTTCAGTCAATCGCTAAATCCTCAAATTATTAATGATAAACTAAAATGTCACGTCCAAGTATTATTAGTAATTCACGTGGCATGCCCACATATTAACGATATATGATGCGGTAGATTTATCAAAATAATTTTTTATTAGTTATTAAAGAAAATTTTCACTTCGATTATTAAATAGTTAAATTATTAATAACAATTGATATGACACTACATATATGATCAATAGCTAATGTGATATATCACATATAATGACAATTGACGTGTATATTCACATATCATTTTCTTTAATAGATTAATAGTATTCAATAAGATGATAACATGTGCAGTTATCATACTAACCTTAGATAATGTTCAAAATTAGGACCTCTGTAAATGGATTTAAAGTCTAATTATTGAGTTGATTTAAAAACTTGATATAATTTGGATAAAATAATATTTAAATGTATTACGATTGAAAATAATTACATTTATTTTATAAATATATAAAAATATAATATAAATCATAAAGTATCATATAACATCAATTAAAATCTAATAATTTCATAAAATTATTTAAATTTTATTTTATAAAAATATATTTATAACATATTGTCAATTGAGATAGCGAAAGAACATTCAACTATAAAACCTGCCAATAATTAGACTTTACTCATTTGCCATATTTGAAACGAAACAATGCCCACCATCAACCTCCGCACCTCTTAGACTCTTTAAGATATATCGTTTTGGCTCCGTAAATATAATAAACTATAATTTTAGAGTCAATTTAGGTGCAATCTCTTTTAGACTCTTTTGACTAAATTCAACTCAACATCGAAATTATTGTTTAGAAGTGTTTATATATTAATATTTATATTAAAATTAAATAAAAAATTTATTACTGAATAATATAATTTGGATTCGAGGAAATATGTGACTTGTTAATATCTGAAATTGCACGAATCAAGTGACCTATGTGGTAAAAAAATAGTTGTTATTCTTTGAGGACCCAGGTTTGAGTACCATAGACGCCAGAGGTGTGAGCGTTTAATGTCGAGAGGTTGAGAGTTATCTTTGAACAAATATTGCCTCGTACTTATCCCAGATTAATAAAATTAAATAAATAAAATCTGAAACTAGTCATCTTAAGTTGTCATAAAAATATGATAAAATACACAAAGAAGATTTAACAAAACAATGACTTATAGTCGGAAGACCAATTTGTAAATTTTAATAGTCGGTGAACTTAACAAAACAATATCATATAATCAAAGCATCATTTATATATTTTACCCTAAAAATTAATTCGTTAAAAAGAGTGGTAATGGACTTGAAAAGGCAATGCCTAATTCCTTACGACTTTTCAACTAGTTCTTGCAGCTGTCATGCGTATTGATCATGCAATATAAATTGGGTACATTCATAATCCACGTCGAGCATAATGTGACAATGGATGGTCAATTTGGGAAATGTGTTCTATCCACTGCACATTCAAAGTTATGGTAAGACAGTTTTTCTTCCATTTGCAAATTTCAATTATACTTCATAGTCGTACACGTGAGAAATATTTACGAAACTGAAACTTATTTGTCAATTTCTCCACCTATGACCAATTTTGGCATGTCTATTTCTCTTTTGTCTCATTTCAGGGCTAAGCTCAAGCATGCATACAACATCTGCTAAAGGCAAATTCTTCGATATAACCCTATAGGGCGTTAAAAATCTTTATAATATGCAATCACGGATCGATCAAGAGGGTGTTGGAGTGTGGTCAAATCATTGAAAAGTTTAAATCCATATAATTTAAGTATTTTTTATGTTTTTTATTAATGATCAAATTTTATACCTTAAAAAAATTTAATTCCACATGTCTAAATTTTTAAAAAACTTTTTAAATTCACATTCGTAATATAAAATATTGCGTAAATTATGCAATCAACATGAAACCCTCCTCAGTGTAAAATTTGTCAGAATCACTATTAATTTCCCATTGACTGGTTTTTGTGGTTTTTAACCTTACTTTCCTGACCTATAACAGGCGACAGTCTGCAGGCGAGTAAAGATAAAGTCAGTCAGTGGGAGATTAATGGAGACTTGGAGAGTAGAGTAGCGACATGCTTTAGAAGCGACACTAATTTGCAAAATTTATCATACTCGAAATTCCAAGACAGGGAAAAAAGACAAGGTGAAATAACTCCTCACATTGAATGCACTCAACAACTCTGAAGGTGATCATCTAAAGCATGCAACTACCTGGTCCCATCGGGGAGGGAAAGTTTTTGCCTTATTTACTTCACATTCTTGGATTTCAACATTTATGTTTTCTTTGAATTCAATTACCTCCATTTACATAACCCCATTCTGGTGAGCTATAATTCTTGAGTTTGACCACTTTATTACAAATTCATCATATAATCTTTGTCGGGTGTATATTTTTTCCTTGTCACGTTTGAATGTCTTTTAACAAATAATAGTAAATCATTATTTTATGCTGTAGAGTTAAGAATGTGAAAGTTTAAATAGTGTATATAGTTGCAGACATACAAGAAATGGGTGGTTTCTATTTAGATCAGGAAGAAGGAGCTGCAACAGCAGGAGGAAGAAAGAAAGAGACTGAAGATTCTTCTTGGTCACCGAACCCACATATTCAGGCTCAACATAGGCGTTCTAAGAGGTGACCTTCACATATTACTAGTTTCTTACGTTGTTTTGTCAACTTGTTGGCTAATAATCAACAGAGAATCAAGTTTATAGGAGTTCTTTAACCATGTCAATTTGTCTGGAGTTTTGAGGGTTTATTTTTCTTTGTATTTAACTGGTGTTTGCTTAATTTTTTTCAATTTTCTCTGGCATTGCCTTTACTTGAATTGCAAGTGAAAGATTTTGGATCTTGGAAGTTTGACTACGGTGCAATATAGGTCAATGGTCCTGGCTTAGGCTTAGGATTAGGCTTAAGGCTTAATCGAGTTTATGTCAGATCCGGGGCCCCTGAATGCATAATTTGAAATCTTTTGATACCCACAGGTCCCTCAAGGTTTTGCCACCTTTATATTTCTGACTCGAATCTGTATTGGTTTAGCTGCTAGCTTCATATATTCTGCTTGCTCTGATTGTGAAGTGATGGATAATGAGTGCTTTCACAAGTAGTAATTCTTGTAAGTCACAAGTTATATAGTGTTAGTTTGATGAACTCCAGCCATAGGTGATGAATAATGAATGAGGTCTGTGAGCTGGTTGTAATTGTCAGAATCTGTTAATTCTTATTCGGACTGTTCCAATAACTATTCTTGTTTTTCTTTCAGCGCGTCGGACAGAAATATCGATGTTTCAAGAGACGGAGTTTTGCATCGTATGAAGAAAGGGCAGAATGAACTACATGTGAGGATACATTTTCTAAACAATGTCGCCATCTCAGTTATCATTTTGGCTTTCAGCTTTTCCAATGCTTACAATTACATATATATAGCCATGTTTTGCAGCGTTGAATGAGAATTATGAATACTCCGTTTGTGATTTACCCTTTTATTGTTTTTCAAATGTGAAAGATGGAGGCATCTCCGTTATCAACAAGAGCTTGTAGGACTCGAAGTCCTCTTCATTACAGCTCCGCTTATAGCAACAAGAATACACCGTTGAACCGGCGAGCCTCTTTGGAGAAAGATGTAAGCCTTGAAATTAAATGTTTTTCTTTGATAAATGTTAGTTCTGTAAAGATAGGGACATTTACATTTAATGTAAAGATGACTGAAGATGACTGAACCACTGAAATGAAATGATTATCAATGACATACAGCAAATACAGTAAACAACTATGGTGCTAGATGCATATATCTAAGAAAGCCATCTGAAAATCCTCAAGGGTTTGATTGAATGTCTGAAAGGCATAGGTTTTGAAATCCTTAATTCTACTTCAGTTGGACAATAAATGCATAATGACCCTATATGTATTCTATGAGAGACTTGACAGGTGCACCTAAACAATGGATCAATGGCTTCTTATTGCTCAAAAGCTGTATAATATATCTCTATGCTGCATAAATTTCAACAATAGCATCACCATGATTTTCCCATTTTCAGATAGAACTGCTGCAATTACGTTTGCAACAAGAAAAAACCATGCGACTTATGCTCGAGAGAGCAATGGGACGGGCTTCAAGCACTTTGTCTCCAGGGCACAGGCATTATGCTACACAGGTGACATTATTTCTGAGTTGTTGATGAAAACCGATTCTCGGCAAATATTATGATGGTTTCCCTCCAATATTTATTTAATCAAACAAGAAACTCCCTCATTGTTTGACTTGCAATGTAAACATGTATGCTTTGTAGACAAAGACAGCTACCAATAAGGCACACATATTTTGTAATGTATCAGAGAAAAGATAAATCAATAAAAAATACTTAGGTGGCGTTTGGTTGGATGGAATCCCTTGGAATTGAGGGGAATTGGAATCCAATTCCACCACTTTCCCATGTTTGGTTCAAGTTTTCCAAAGGAATTGGAATCCCTCATGGCTTCAACTTTCCATCAAATGAGGGAAAGTGAATTCCATCCAAGAATGAATGGAATTCAATTCCCTTGTTGGAGGGAATTGAAATTTGACCATACTACACTTATCAATCTTTTGGTAACTTATTCATATATTGAATAAAAATATTTTTTTATTATTTCGGGTCGGGTCGGGTCGAGTTCGGGTTTAGGGTAAAAAATACCAGACCCGAAAATATATATAATTTTACCTTATATATTTAGAAATAATTACAATAATACCCCTCTCTATATATTTTTTTCAATTAAGTCACTGTTTTTATTGAATAAAAATAATTTTTTATTATTTCGGGTCAGGTCAGGTCGGATTTCTAATTCATATATTCGGGTCGGGTCGGGTGAAACTTTATTTTGTTCGGGTCAGGTTTTTTAAGTGTGATATTCTGGTCGAGTCGGGTTGGGTTTTTTTAAGTGTGATATTCGGGTCGGGTTTGAGTTTAGGGTGAAAAAAAATCGGACCGACCCGAAAAAAATATATAATTTTACCTTATATATTTAGGAATAATTACAATAATACCCCTCTATATATATATATATATATATTTTCAATTAAGTCAATGTTTTTATTGAATAAAAATAATTTTTTATTATTTTGTGTCGTGTCGGGTTTCTAATTCATATATTGAATAAAAATAGCTTTTGGTAACTAATTAACATACTCCGATTGGAATGTATCGAAATATTGCTCTATCTTTTGGTAACTTATTAACATATTTTGATTGCGATGATTTTAACTTATGATGTTTATTAGCATGATTTTTATAATTTATTGAAATGAATAATCAATCAACAAAATGAAAATTTAATATTTTTTTAATTTTTTATAATATATTACTATATGTAAGTTGTAAAACAAACTAAAACAAAGGGTCTGTTTGTTTGGTTGTAATTGATTTTCCGGAAAATGAATTACTGAAATTTGAATTACTGAAACTGGAAAATGAATTACTGGAATTTGAATTCTGGAAAATGAATTACGTTTCTGGAAAACGTTTTCCGGAAAATGTTTTCCGTAAAATGAATTACATTTTTCTGAAAAACATCTTGAAAACGTTTTATGATATTCGGAAGATGTTATTTAAACATTTTTTTCACTAGTTGAAGAGTATTTTAAAAATTATTTATTACAAATCTTAAATATAATAAATAATATTATTTATCATAAAACTTAATATTATTATTTTAAAATATTAAAATAATTTATTTATTATTAAATATTATTTTTATAATTTTAATAATAAAAATAATAATTTTTGTGAAATAAAATATTATAAATTATATTAATTATTTATTAAAGTAATATTGTTATATTATATTTTAAAAATATTAATTAGTATATTTTAAATATCTTTATTAAAATATTATTTAAATATATAAATAATATTATTCATTATTAAATATATAAAAAAATATTATATATTATTAAAATAAAAATATAATATCTTATATTATATTATTATAATATAATTGATTATTTTATATAATATTAAAAATATAATATTATATTATTATAAATATAATAAATAAATAAATAAATAATATTTTGATGAAAATGATATTAAAATATTTTGTTAATATTAAATTCATAAAATAAAATTATTTTGAATATTTTTTCTTTGAAGTGAAAAGTTCGGAAAATGACTTACGGAAAATGAATTACACAAAGGAAATTTTGTTACTAGGAAAATGAATTACATTTCGAAAAACCAATTACGTGAAATAAACACAGGAAAACATTTTCCGGAAAATGAATTACGTGAAACAAACACGGAAAACATTTTCCGAAAAATGAATTACGTGAAACAAACACGGGAATTCGGGGAAAACCAATTCCGTAATTCCAATTACGGCAAATAAATACACCCACAGCAAAAAAACAAGAAGGACAATTCTGTCATTTAACATTACTGAAATCAAATTCATCTGACATGTCTGCGAACTAAACAGAATATGGAACAGAATATGGAATTGAATTCTAATTCCATTTCCTGCCAACCAAATAGAATATGAAATTGGATTCAATTCATTCACAAATTCCAATTCCATCATAAACATTCCAACGAACCAAACGCCACCTTAGTCTTCTCATATTCTGCTGGAAACCATTGTTCTGCTAATGTATATAATATCCATATGTGAGTTATGTTAATGGCACTCTGCTTGAAAATAACTTGACAACTAGTTAATTTCAGACAAAGGAATTGATTACGGAGATTGAGTTACTTGAGGAAGAGGTTGCAAATCGTGAGCAACAAGTACTCTCCCTCTACAGGAATATTTTTGACAATTGTGTTAGTCGGCAACCTTCTGAGCAGAGCTCAGGCAAGGCTTCTCCTGCCCATATGAAGAATACATCAAGGAAACATCCAAGTATTATTTCAAGTGCATTTTGTTCTTCAAAAAAGTTCCCTCTGAGACCTTGGCAAGCTCTAGTTTCCACACATGACTCTGGGAAAAGACTCTCTAAAAGTATTGATGTTTCACAGTTTTGTGGAAAATGTGACATTCTATTGGACAAGACATCTTCATACCTAGTTAAGGTAAAAAAGGGTAATCATTTTCTTTACATTTTTACAACTGTTTGTCGTTAATTCTTGTTTTGTTCATTTTAAATCTCACTCTGACATATCAAGGGATTTTATATAATGTGTGCATCATATTGCTTATCTGTCATATAATGTCATTCATGCTTATTGTCCGGACTTTCTTATTCCTTGCACTTTCCAGGCTCATGAAAAGGTTCAAGGTATTGAAAAAACCTCCGCGCTGCGGACTCTGAAAGATCATCTGCACCAATGTCCAAGCAAGCTGTCGGAGGAGATGGTCAGATGTATGGCAGCAGTATATTGCGGACTTCATAGTGCAACATCTTCAAACTCTGAGAAAAATCTGTCACCTTTATTGTCAAGGTCATCAACCAAGGTTGTACTTCCCAAAGGTTGCGTTGGAGAGGACCAGGATTTCTCTTGCAAGTCCAATGTTGAAATATCTTGGATTTCAACTGATCGGAACCAATTTTCTCGAGCATCTTATGCCATCAGTAACTACAGGTTGGTTAATTATATGGAGTTTATATAAATACTGTATTTTAAGGAAATTAAGGTACACGTTGCAGCATAAATCTTGTTGGAAACTCTTCCCTAAGCAAAGTCAAACTTCTGCTATCTTTATTTCTTGTGCATTAACTTGTCAATTTCAGAGCTCTAGTGGAACAACTAGAAAAAGTGACAGTGAGTCAGATGGAATATGATGCCCAAATTGCATTCTGGATCAATGTGTGCAATGCCCTTGTTATGCATGTAAGCTTAAATTTATTTACCAGCTCCTTGATTATCTCTTTCTTTTTACCATAATAAACTCTCAAATTTTCATCGTGCAGGCATATTTAGCATATGGAATTCCCCAAGGTTCTTTGAGACGGTTAGCCTTGTTTCACAAGGTAGTCCTTTACTTTATCTAAATCAAATACAATTTAGGAAATCGTAGCAATTTTTCATTGGCCACATTTTGTTTCTAGTGATACTGATTTCTGGTAATTCCTGGAAGATGCTTTATATTGATTTCTCCAAACAACTGCCGTTAACAAGATGCATGTGCATATAGGTTGGGGGAGTGGATGCATCTTCGACATTCTTTCACTACGGTTTAATCGGGTTATAATCTGATAAAATTGATTGGTGTTTCTGTATAGTGCAGGCTTCATACAACATCGGCGGTCATGTCATTAGTGCAAATGCCATAGAGCAGTCGGTATTTTGCTTCCGTACACCTCGAACTGGACGGGTATAACTTTCGGCATCTAAAAGTAGATATACAGAGATAAGTTGATTTTTCATAATCTTGCAAATATGTTGTTATCTATTTTTACCAGTGGCTAGAGAGCATCCTCTTCACAGCTTTAAGGAAAAAATCTGGTGAAGAAAGGCAAATTATCAGTTCAAAATTTGGTCTTTCATATTCCCAACCACTTGCCTGCTTTGCTCTCTGTACTGGAGCATTTTCTGATCCTGTGGTAAGTTCTGCTTCTCTCTTACATTGTATTGCAGTATGATTGTTCATGATTCTCAAACTTGTCTAGTTATTTTCATCTCCATAACATACCATCTTGATATATAAATAAGTATTTCAAAGTGATATTATTCAAATTAATCTGTTCTCTTCTCATCATACACTTCGTAGCTAAAAGTTTACACAGCATCAAATGTTAAAGAAGAGTTAGAAGCTGCAACAAGAGAATTTCTTCAAGCAAATGTAGTTGTTAAGAAGTCAAAGAAAGTATTTCTACCCAGAGTTGTTGAAAGGTTCGCAAAAGAAGCCTCCATTGGCTCCAATGATCTCGTGAACTGGGTTCTCGAAAACGTAGACAAAAAGCTCCACAATTCAATACAGAATTGTGTGGACGGTAAATCCAAGAAGAAACCATCGCAGGTCATTGACTGGTTGCCTTATAGTTCAAGATTCAGGTACATTTTCTCGAAAGACTTGATGGAGAAACCATGGTGGGTATGAGTTTGACTCTAGACGAATTAATTATGGTTGTCGCCGGTATCTCGTGAGCGATGAAATGTAATTTTTGAACGACGGGTGCGAGGGAGGCGTCAATCATCTTGTCTTCACATGTCATTCCATGTAAAAATCATTGTACATTCTAATCTTTAGATCAGTTAACATATATTCTGCTTTATCTGGAGTTAACACCATTGCAGAACCTGCCAAGTTTAGCTTATGAGTGTGATACAATATTGGCTCTGGGATGGTGACAAGCCTTGAATTTCGATGTAGAATGTGAAGTTAGATTGTAAACTTCTTTGTTATATACTTATTGACAGTACTGTAATCATCTTTACTTTTAAGTTCTGGAGTCAGCTCCTTAAGTTCTCATCAGGCGCTGATATGGCCCAATGAAAATGGCCATATTATCATTAGTGGTTTTGTATTAGCCTTAATCTATAAGTTCATCATTACTGTTGCTGCTACAAGAAACACTGTACAAATTCCTAGATCTGTTTTTAGGAAGGCGTCAAGATTTAATTGTGAGGGACAAGTTGTTTAATTTTGAATTGAACATGATTTTGAAAAACAATAAAATTAAAAGAATTAGCATTTACTTTCACTAATTTCAAATTGAAAAATCTTAAAATATAATTAAACCAAGAAAAATAGAAGTCAAAGCCTAATCCTATTAATTTTAAAACTGACACAATGCTAGATAATTAAATTCAAAAGTTTTGAGAAAGTAAAATTTAGTTATAATAATTTTAAAACTATTTATTACTTGCAATAAAATTAGACCGTCATAATTGGGAACAATTGCCTTACCACCTTGAAAGTGCCTCCGCCTCCATTGTTATGAAGAGACATAACATATGAAAATAGAAACGGTTTTAGTCGTTAAAAATAGTATATCAAAAAGAGTATTTATTTTTTTTTAGAGATTTTAGGTTTGAATAGTTATACATATATAAATATTATTTTATTAATCACCCTGTCCGGTAGGGGCGGATGCACTAAGCCCCTAGGGGTCAAATGCATCTCCATTATTTGGGGAAAAAAGTGAAATTTAATATAATATGTTAAAGAAAAATAGAAAAAATAAAAAAAATTTCACCCCTATTAATTTTAAGAAAAAAAAATAAATTTTTAGACCCCCATTTATAAATTTATGGATCCGCCACTGCTGTCCGGTAAGACTATCGGTAAAAATATATTTAAAATTTTATGATTTTAGAAAAAAAATAATATTGTAATTTTATATATAAATTATGATTTTTATATAATTTTTTAAAAATATTTTTAAAAAATTATTATTTAAAGTTGTAATTATAATTATAAAATAAAATACTTATTAATTTAATATTTTATATTATTTTTAAATGTAACTAATAATATGATGATCATTTACCAACAATAAGTTGGTTTAGTGTGATACGACATTAGATCCCTTAAGTAAGATCAGAGGTTCGAATTTTGACGTTTTAGAATGGAGAAATTTAAGTTGGGAGGGTCGTCATCGCCTCTGCAGTACCCTATCCGGATTAATCTATCAATAGATCAGATACCAGTGATTATAAAAAACATATGATGACTATTTCATAATTAAATTAAAAGCTTAATAACTATTTTATAAGATTTCAAAATATTAATGATTTAAAAAGTTATTTTAATTTAAAAATATATTTAAAATTTTATGGTTTTTTTAAAAATAAATTTGTAATTATATATATAAGTTATGATTTTTTATATATCTTTTTTAAAAGTTTTTTTTAAATATTAAAAGATTAGTTTATTTTGAAAATTATTAAAATAAAATTTTAATTATAATTAAAATATGAAATGAGATATTATCTATTAATTTAATATATCATATTTTTAATGTAATTAATAAAATGATGACTATTTTATAAAATTATTTTATAATTTTAATCAGTAGTGCACTTTATATTTAATAATTACATTAAATTAATGATAACTTTTTAAATACATTCTTTTTCGTAGTCCTGTAAACGAACCGAACGTACACGAACGGATGTATGTTCATGTTCGTTCATTTAATAAATAAACGAACATAAACGAACGCGAACATAAACGAACAATTTTTTTTGTTCATGTTCGTTCATTAAGGAATATAACTTGTTCATGGCCGTTCATTTAAATAATAAATGAACATAAACGAACACAAACGAACTAACATAAACGAACATAAACGAACACAATAAACAAACATAAACGAACAACACAAACACAAAAAACAAATTTATTTGAATACAACAAATGAATGTAAAAAAAAAGTAAACAACAAGAATAACAACTAAAAATTCATTAATATAAACTAAAACTTTAGAGTTAATTTGTTCGAATACGAAAAAAACATACATAAATCATAAATAAGCTATATGAACATAATAAAGTCTTAAAGTTAATTTGTCCAACAAAACAATCTTCTTGAAATCCAAACAACTTCAATTATCTTCGTAACATATTCAACTTGTCCTTTGTTTGAACATAAATGAACGAATATAAACGAACATATAATCGAACGTTCATGAACGAACAAGCCCTTTGTTTATGTTCGTTCATTTAATTAAACGAACGTAAAATCTTGTTTGTGTTCTAAACGAACATAAACGAACTTCCCATCACACGATTTATGAATATTCGTTCAACGTTGAATTAATTTACCTACCTACTTTTTCGTGTTGATTGAATCTTATATCTTTTTGTTCCTTTTTCAAAAGCACCACTCGTTTCGTTTAATTTTTTTAATAATTTTTCTCATAATGAAAAAAGAATCGAAATGTCATGATCAAGTTGTACAATTACACGTAAAAGAAGTAGAACAGAAAAGATTAAAATGTAGAGGAGGAAATTGAAGAAGAAGACAATAAAATTACATTGAATTCATTTCATAATTATGCTAGTTACAACTGTTTTGCTATATATATTCTAATTGCAGAGTATTAACCAATTGTGTTTATACGGCTGTCATATTCTTTTGACACTTAGTACAACATCCCAGATTCATTCGGTTGCACTTGTATCGACTTCGGGAGAAAGATGCTTTAACAAGCTGCTCTGCACTATTAAATCATTGGTGTCGTCTGGTTCGGGGTGTGTCAAACAAGGCCTGCTTTCCCTATTGTTCCTCATGGATCTCTTTTACTTGGGTTGAGTATACTAGACCCATATCCTTCTCCGACGTCAAAAGTCTGCCATTTCTCTTACCTTTCCTAATTTTCCTTTTTCCCCGATTCTCTTCTTCTCCTATTCCTATTTTACAAATCCGTAACCCTCGCTTCACCCTAATTGTCCTTTTCTTTCTCGCCTCAGCCATGACACGAAAGGTCTCTCCTTATTACACATCGGAAAAATCCCCCCTCTTTCTATTTCTTTCATGACTTCTTTTTTACTTGAATTCAACTGAACCCTAACTCAACCAGCTAGACAATTCAAATTCCGGTAAGTCTCAGTTATTAGTTAATTCTTCTATTTGTTTACTCTGGCTCCTTCTTGTTGCTGCTGTTCTTGTTTTTATGGGGTGGTTAAAGTGGTATTGTGTTGAACTGGAGTTTTGTGCTGATGTAGATGACCGTACGATTAGGGAGGACTTGAGAGTTGAGACCAAGCGGCCAGGGATTTTGCAACCGAATGGAGGGACGTAGCTTCTCTATACTTACTTGCTCCGGTAACTGTTCTCATTCCTACTTTGTTTTTGATGAACAAATTCTATTTAGGCTTTTCGTTTTTATTGTTTAATTAGAGAACTTGGAAACAGTTATCTATCTTCTTGAAGTGGTGAGGTATATTGTTGTTTATTTTTGTGATTCTGTGCGTAAATATTTTGGAAGGGAATTCTTTTATTAAGTTTTCAAGTTTGCTCAGTCAATTCCTTTTCCATTTCTATTCTTTAGTAATATTTTTCTAATAGTTAATGTGATTGAGCCGGAGGCTCTGTTTAGCTGAATTTGTAGTTGACCAATTAATGGGTTGAGCTAGATCTTTGTTTGAAATTAGTTAATGGACGTATACTTGTATTAATATTTAAGTGCAACCAAGTGATAGTTCAGGAAGAAAAATAAATGCTGTCGAAAATTCTCGAGATTATTTATTTGTACACTGTAGTAGGTTTGAAAACTCCACAGTGGCTTTTCACTTGCCATGTTTTGGTTTAACTATATGTGTTAACCTGATAATGTAATGTTGACTTCCTTTTGTTGGAGACATGAACAATTATGTACAGGAAGTATAAATTAGTGAAAAGAACTCATTACCACCATTTCTGCTTTTGAATATCAAGTGAGTGGCATATTAACTCTAAGAGATGAGGTCGGGCTATGCAATGTGAACATTTTAACTTCTTTTCCCTTCCTTATTCTTCTTTGAACTATACATTATTATTCAACTCTGCTAGAAGTAGTTAGATGGGTATTGTGGATTGTTCTGTTTGTAGAAAGGTTGTAAAGTTCAAGCTTTCTTATGCAATTCATTCTATGACAGAATACTCTTTAGACTCGAGAAGCCTGATCACTTTATTTGATTCAACTGTTTGTTTTCGTCAAAACTTTTTCTGTTGCAGGGATACACTCATGGATTATGATGATGATTTCCAAAACCAAAATCTTCACTTAGCTGGTGAAGGAAATGATAAATTTCCTCCTGTTTTGCGTCCATATGATCTCCCTAGATTTGATTTTGATGACAATCTTCGTGGGCATTTAAGATTTGATAGTTTAGTTGAAACTGAGGTTTTTCTCAACATTGAAAGTGGTGAAGATAATCAGTGGATTGACGAATTTTCACGTGGGAGTACTGGGATTGCATTTAGTTCAAGTGCAGCAGAACCTTGTTTGGTTTCTAGGCACAGCAATGTCTGGTCTGAGGCAGCATCCTCAGAATCAGTTGAAATGCTATTAAAATCCTTAGGGCAGGACAAAACTACACTTGCTCAAACTATTAGTAAGGATTCAGACGCCTGTGATGAACTCCGTTGCATAATAAAGCAGATGGACCCGAGTTTGAATAAAAAAGATAGTGACCTCTCTAAAGTAGAGGGTGACATACAACCTGCTATACAGACAGGTGAGATTTCCGGAAAATGTATAGGAGACCATCAGTTGGTTGAAGATGCTTCTCAAACCCATGAGAGAGAGCCATCTGTTCACGAGGCATTAGAAGATCCAAATAACAGAAATTCTGGCATACCTGTGACTGAGACAGATGAGTCTAAAAATGGTAAACAAACTGTTATTAACGAAAACCGAGCGGAAGCTTCGGTTGATCGGTCTTTGGATAATCAGGGACAGGAAGATAAATTTGCTTATGGGTCAGAAGTTGATACTGTAATCCCTTCTGTGCAAAGCACATGTACGAGTAGTGTTTTGATAGATGATCAAGATTCCACTCATTTGAAAAATGATATTGATAAAAAAGTGGACAGTTTAGAGAGAGAAAATGTAGTTTAAGTCCTGAACATCACATTAGTGGTAGGAACTTAATTGATGATACAAGTGTTACCTCTCATGTCGGGGTATATTCAGCTTTGGACATGCAATATAGGGAAAAACATGCTATCGGAAACAGAACAACTAACATGGATGAGCCTTCTGATAAGATATTGAAAAGGAGTTCTGACCTCCATGTGGTGGAAGAATGCAGCGAGGGCGTGGGTGTAGAAATGCCTCTGCAGACTAGCAAGTCTGCAGACATTGTCTTGTCAGAAGGAAAGTTAAATGACACATCATCAATGCCAGGTATTGATAATACCCTCAAGTTGCATGAAAATGAGGTTAGCAATATTGATACTGTAATTTGTACGGGTCCTGAGTCTAAGGTGAATTTATTGGTGAAGGTAGCATCTGGTGCTATTGAGGAGGACTTGTTAGAAAGTGATTGCCACCCAGATAAAAAAATCTTGAGCAGCAAGTCTGAGAAATCTTTGTTGTCGGTGGAAGATGGTAAAGTTTCTAAGGATGATAAAGGCTCTCATGTTACCTTGGTAGCTGAAGCCACGAGAGAATGTGAAAAATACATCATCGCCGGGCATAGTGATGATCATAAATGTGAGGAGAGTGTTTCAGCTTCTGCAAAGCAGAAAACCAATTTGCCTTCTGATGGTAGTAATGCAGGTTGTTGTGATGATGGGTCCCAACTTGTAACAAAGGGAGTTGATTTGTCATCATTCGGTGCAGGTGGCAAGGTAAATGAGTTAGTTTCAAACCTACAACCTGATGTTGCTGTCAGCAGTATGCTGGGTATGTATATTCTGAAGCATTACATATATTAATTTTGCTTTTCTTTCCTTCTTTATGCTTTTGTTTACCCATCCTGTATCATGTGCTAACTTAGTGTTCCTTGGTACAGTGGAGTGTGTTCTTTTGCCTTCCAGCAAGGGTATACTGGCCAGTAATTTTTTGGATCAGAAAGAGGTTCCGATGTCATCTTCAGAAGTAAGCTTCTCGGTCATAAAGGCCTCTGGAACAACCACCGAAGAAGGTGCTTCTTGTAAGACTGGTGAACAGTTCCCATACAAGAAAGTTGTTCAATCATTGTTAATGGAGGATACCACTACCGTTGAGGGAGAAAGTGGAGATCGTACAATTTGCGGTGTCACACTGGATGTTGGAAAGGATATGCACTCACCATTTATTGTCTCTGATTCAACAGCGAGGAAGACTGATGGTGATGAAGCTCAAGTTATCCCTGAAAAGGTTTCTACAGATACTGCAGGTGACTCATCATTTTGGTTTACTGCTTAACTAGTTATCATCTCAACTAAAACTTGGATATAATAAAACTATTGTTAGCTATTTCTTATAGAGTTTTCCATAGCAGGCGTATTTGTTTAATTCTGTTTCACTGTTTTCCTTATTATTACGGTGCTGTTTCCTTGGCTCATTGTTTCTGAAATATTTTATTCATGTGATGATAATTGGTGTTATGCGCTGGTGGCACTTTTCTTTTAAAGCATATTACCTAGCATTTATAATTTCAGAAACTCCATAAGGTTAATTTCAGCGAACAAAAAATTTCTGTTAGGTGATGTATCAACTCAACTGAACAAGACGTTGATGAATTCAGTGCCTTCAACTTCAATGGAAACCTCCCATGGCACTGTCCAAAATCACCCTAAAGATAGTAATTCCAAATTGGTTTCTGAAGAGGTCAGTGGTCATGTTGCTGTGCATCATGTTGATGGTAAGTTTCTTTATCAGTTTTTCTTGAAGTAATTACAATTTAATATTTTATGCCTTTCATGGTGGAGTCCCCCCTTTACTGTTTTCCTGGGTTTCCCCCTTAGGTTCTGCCTTTTTTTGGTTGGGAAAATGTTTGTTTTATTCCTTTTTACTATCCATCCCTTCACACCTTAGGTTCTTGAGATGGATCTTTCTATGTTCTTATTTTCTGCATTGTGAAGTTTTTTCATGTTCAAGCCTTCAAGGATAACTTATATTTTTATTGTTTTTGCATGCTTAGCCTCTTTGATGATTCTGTTTTTCATTTGAGATCATTCATCAGTTTTCCCCCCTTTTCCTGCCCTAATTTTCATGTTACTGTTCTCTTTATTTTGATGTTGCAGTTGATCCTGCAAAGACTTTTAATACTTCCTTTGCTTCTGTGTCGTCATCTGAATCTCCTCAAACTAAGTTTCACATGATGGAAAATGGAAGTAGCAGTGCTGATCTTGACAATCCTTCCTGTGGCTCTCCGGTTGTCATTAGAACATCTGAGCAATCACAAAGTAAAACTGAAAATGAAGGTGTGAGAGTATCCAAAGATCGGAGTCCTGTAGCATCCGGCATCACTAATGGGGAAGCAAACAAAGAGCAGCCAATTTCTCAGGATACAAAAGGAAATGATGCAGCTCCAAGAGAGAAAAGCTTCACCTTTGAGTCATGCCCATTGTTAGCTATGTCTGAACTAGAAGCTGAGAAGAATTGGAAACCTTTTCCAGCCATGCAACATGAAAAAATATCCCTGGTAATATTTTTTCCCAAAGTGATGCATATGGTTATGTTAAGAAGGCCTTTTTGTGCTCTAATAATGCCCTGCATCGCGTCAAGATTTTTAAGAAGTATGAGTCTAATTTTTATTGTTTCATTCTGGTTATATTCTACCCCTCTCTCACTTACTTTCTCACTCTGTCTTGATACAAGAAGGCCATGGAAGGAGCTCCATCAACCTCTGGCTTAAGCATAACTAGGCCTATGGCTGCTCAAGAGACGAGTCGTGCAAATCCTCAGGTAACTAAAAGGGAGAATGTGCATGGTGGATCCAAAGGGACTTCTGAGCGTAAACCAAGACAAGCGGGTGGTAAGAGTGCTGGAAAGGAAGCTGCTAGGAAGAGAAATACTGCAAAAGAAACAACTCCTGCAAGACAATCAGAAAGAAGTGATAGGACAAGCAGTGTGTCACCCAGTTCAGCTGGAACTGGTCAGCTTGTGCAATCCAACGAGATTCAGCATTATGGACACATAGAAGGCGGTAATATAAAACAATTTGGTGTTCTTTCTACTTCAGTATATAGTCTGCCAGACTTGAACACATTAGCTTCTTCATATGCAGTTTTTCATCAGCCTTTCACAGATTTGCAGCAAGTTCAGTTATGTGCTCAGATTTTTGTGTATGGAGCTTTGATGTAAGACTTGTAACTTTCATTTGTCTTAGTTTGTAATGGATTTTTGTGCATGTGCTTTGGTATCATTGTCAAACCTTATTGTCTTTGGTATTGCATTTTCATTTACTACTTTTGATCATTTGAGAACATTTATCTCATTGTTTTGAACAATGTTGCTGCAGACAAGGAACAGTACCTGATGAGGCGTATATGATATTGGCATTTGGAGGTCTTGGTTAGGTTTCTTATCTCTATATATGTTATCCCTGGGATCTTTTATACAGATATAATCACTATTTTGGGTTGTATGCAGATGGTGGAAGAATCATTTGGGAGAATGCCTGGCGAGCAGGTATAGAGAGGGTACATGGTCAAAAATCGCTTCTTGTTAGACTTGAAACTCCATTGCAGTCTAATATAGGTATCTTTCCTGGTCTAAAGTTATCTAAAGAGTTTCTTCTTATTCTGTTGTCTATTAATTTTGTGCCTTGATTGAGATGCTCAGGTGCTAAAACTTCTGATCAACCAATCAAACAAAATACACTTCAGAGTAAGGTCACATCCTCACCCGCTAGTCGGTCTACCGGCAAGGGTACTCCAACAATGTCAAGTGTAAACCCAATGATACCCCTTTCATCACCACTATGGAGTATTCGTACACCTTCCAGTGATGCCCGTCAACCAACTGGCCTTCCAAAAGGTGCAGTTATGGATTATCAGCTGGCAATTTCTCCATTACATCCTCCACCTACAAGAAATTTTATTGGACACAATTCTTCTTGGATGTCACAATCTCCTTTTCATGCCCCCTGTACTCCACTAACTTCTGCATTTGATGGCAATGCTAGTTATCCTTTGTGCCCCATCACTGAAGCAGTTAATTTGAATCCTGTAAAAGCATCTGTGCCTCAACCTTCTAGTGTGAAACAGGTTTCTGCAGTTCCTGTGGTCCAGAGTGGAAGTCCTGCAAATGTTTTTGCAGGGACCCCCCTGCTTAACACAAAAAAGACAGCATTAACACCTGGTCAGCATTCTGCTGATTCAAAGCCTAAAAAACGGAAAAAGTCTACAGTTTCTGAGAAGCCTGGGCAGAGTATACCTCATTTTCAATCAGAGTCCTTGTTTGCTACTGTTGTAGTTAACCATGCCTCTACACCTGATGCCATTGGCATTCCTGCTACCAATATATCCAAGTCCTCCACTGATAAATTTGTTATATCTGTCTCTGCTAATAATCTCAAAAAGGGTGACCAAGAACCGGATCAGAGGGATAGTCTGTCTGAAGAGACTCTTAGTAAGCATGAGAATGCTCAGAAGCATGCAGAGGATGCTGCTTCTCTTGCTGCTGTTGCTCTTAGTCACAGTAAAGAAATATGGAATCTTTTGGAAAAGCACAAAAATTCAGGGTTGGCTCCAGATGTTGAAACTAAATTGACTTCTGCAGCTGTTGCAATAGCAGCAGGTGCTGCTGTTGCAAAGGCTGCAGCTGCAGCTGCCAATGTTGCCTCAAATGCTGCCTTACAAGCAAAATTGATGGCTGATGAAGCATTGGCTTCAAATGGCTACAGAAATTCCATTCCCAGTAGTTCAATCTCTGATAGTGTGAAGAAGCTGAGCAAGGCTACTCCTGCATCCATCTTAAGGGGTGAGGATGCTACTACTAATTCAAATTCTGTCGTCGTTGTTGCTAGGGAAGCTTCTAGAAGGAGGTTAGAAGCAGCTTCAGCTGCCTCTAAGCAGGCTGAAAACATGGATGCCATTGTTAAAGCTGCTGAGCTGGCAGCTGAAGCTGTGTCACAAGCTGGAAAGATTGTTGCTATGGATGAAACTTTCTCGTTGACTGAATTGGTAGAAGCAGGTCCAGAGGCATACTGGAAAGTACCCCAAGCTTCTCCTGAGCCAGATGGTGCTAATAGAGAACACATAAACATAGTTAGTAGTGTGGAAGCTCCTGATTCATCTGTTGGACATCTAAAAGAAGTTACCGCGGACAAGAGGGAAAAGCAGAGTGATAACCATGGAAAGTCACATACTCTTAGAGAGATGGCCAGAGAATCTATGGAAGATCATTCTAGGTTGACAGATGGCAGTTTGACTCGTGTTGCAACTAGTGAAAAGGATAAAAAAGGACAAAAGGGACGCAAAGCTTCAGATGTCGCCAAAACTGAAGGAGTTGCTTCTGAATCTCAGATTGGGTTTGGATCACCTTTGATGGCCACTCAGTCTGCCCATGAAAAATCAGGGGAAGGGGAAACTTCAAAAGACAATAATATAAGGGAATCCTCGCAGGTTGAGGTTTGTGACTTCTATTTAAATATAACTTGAGATTTGTTATCTTTAGTTGAAATATACTTGTAATTGATGGAAATTTGTCGATATAGTACTGAGTTTGAAAAGATTTGCGTTCATTTATCCAGGTATTGAGAGATGGAGATGGGCAGAGAGCAGCATGGTTCCTGGCAGATATACTGAACTTGAAAGATGGCAAAGGTTTTGTGTGTTACAATGAACTTCGACAAGAGGGTGAGCAATCATAACGACCGTAACTTATGTTTTGGTTGAATCAACCGAGTACTTGATAACTATTAAATCAGATCTGTCGGGATCACTGTCCTTAATTTTTATGTAATTCCTTGTTGATGTGTATGACTTCTTCTTTGGGGATTATTGCATGATTATCTCTAGGCTGAATCTTAAGTTTTCTTGTATGATGCATGCTTCTGTTGTGGGGTGATTTAAAATATGTTTAAATGCATCAGAGTGAGGCACTCTTTTCCTCCTTCCGTTGATTAAGGAGCTTCTGTACAAGCTCAATTAATCATGAAGGGGTTTTTTAATGAGGCCTATAACTCTTATAAAAAAAAATGCATCAGAGTGAGGGTGTATAATAGTTTCTTAATAAATCTGTTCTGGCTGCTTATCTTACAGATGGTGATAGGCTAAAGGAATGGGTGGAACTTGAAGTTGAAGGTGATAGGGCACCCAGGATACGCTGTGCTCATCCTATTACAGCCATGTCATTTGAAGGAACAAGGAAGAGACGCAGGGGAGCCATGGGGGATTATAATTGGTTTGTTGGAGATAGGGTTGATGCATGGATGCAAAATAGGTATGCATACAATTTTTTTTCTATATCTTTTATCTATTTCTTGCAATCCATCAAACAGAAAAGGTACTGTTGAAGGTTATGGGGACGCTATAAAATTGGTTAAATTCTATGATTAGTACTTTTACTATGCATAAGTTGTGGAATTAGTTCCTATGCTTTAATTTGGTCATTTTGTCCTTGTACTTTTCAGATTTTGGAAGTTCGGTCTTGATCCAGACAATAGCTATGAAATCTGTTAAATTGAATTCTACCATTAGTCCCTATACTATATGTTGTAAATTTTGTTCCTGTTCTCCAATTTGATAATTCTAAGTCATGTAATTTAGTTACATTGCCTTTGTATTATTTGAGTTGAGATTCAAATTCTGTAAAGTACCGGTACTACAATTTACCAAATTAGAGTACAAGTAGTAAATCCACAGCTTATGCATGGTACTGGTGCTAGCCATAGAATTTGAACTTATAAAATCGTATGACGAAGTAGAGTGTAGGATAATTCGTCTATTGTTCCTAGCCGAACTAGCAACATGAGTAATTTGTCATATTGCCCAAAGCAAATAGTGTTTGATGAATCCATATGCATAATTTAAAATGTCACTAGCTGTACTATAAATCACGGTGAAAGGGATGTGATTTTTTTTTTCATAAACAGTGTTAGATAAGTCATACAAGTTTACATGTTTGTCATTTGCATATTGTTAACTGTGTAAAATTTTGTGGAAACCATCAAATAGATTGTGCTTGACTATGGACAAAAGTGGTTTTGAATATCAACAACAATCCGGCCTAATGTAAATCCATAAAAATCTTTTGCTAAATATCATGTTTGTCGAGAATATCTAAATTAAATATTAGATAGATCAGTTTTAATTAGATAGAATCAGTTTTTTATTCGGATCAATAGGAGTCGCCACTGGTTTACATCCGAGTAATCCGGTCTCTTTCAAGATATCGAGGACATATTTCCTTTGCGAGATAATTATACCTTTTGAGGATCTAGCCACCTCCATTCCAAGGAAATATTTGAGTTGTCCTAGATCCTTGACTTCAAACTGGTTGGATAAGAAGTTCTTCAACGACTCCAACTCTACTGTGTCATCTCCTGTCATAACAATGTCATCTACATACACAATTAAAATAGCAATTTTACCATTATTGTGTTTGTAGAACATAGTATGATCAGACTGGGCCTGAGTGTAACCATGTTGTTTCACAGCTCTCGTGAATCTCTCGAACCAGGCTCTCGGAGATTGTTTCAATCCATAAATGGATTTCTTTAGCTTGCAGACCCTGCCATCCTTCTTCAATTCATCAAAGCCTGGAGGAACTTCCATAAACACCTCTTCCTCTAGCTCACTGTTTAGGAACTCATTCTTTACATCAAACTGTCTGAGAGTCCAATCCAGATTGGCGGCTAGTGAGAGTAGGACACGTACGGTGTTTAGTTTGGCCACAGGTGCGAAGGTCTCCTCGTAGTCAAGGCCGTATGTCTGAGTGAAGCCTCGTGCTACGAGTCTTGCCTTGTATCTCTCGACCGAGCCATCTGCATGGTATTTTATGGTGAACACCCACTTGCTGCCTACAGATCGTTTCCCCTCAGGTAAAGGAGTTAGATCCCACGTGTCATTCTTCTTCAGGGCCTTTAACTCCTCAAAAACTGCCTCTCTCCATCTCGGAACTTCTAGAGCTTCATGTATCGACTTAGGTAGTGCATCATCCATAATCCTGGTGGAAAAAACTTTGAAATCTGGAGAGAGTTTATTATAAGATAAGAAATTGGATATTGGATGTTTTGTGGTACATGATCTAATACCTTTGCGCAAGGCTATGGGTTCAAAGAATTCTGTAGAAGGCTCTAAATTTGGAGAAGAAATAGGAGAAAGAGAAGTCGTACCTTGGACCATAGTCGAGTCCGATGGTTGGCATACCTTGGGGGCCGGTGGAACATTACTTGGTCGAGTCATCCGTCTAGAATAAACACGAAGTTCAGTAGGTGGTTCCAAGTTGGTTTCTACCTGAGTCTCACGAGGTTGTGAATTTATAGTTGTGAAATCCTAGGATTAGTTACGGAAATATGAATTGGTTCCACTGAGCTATTTACAATCGATTTTGGCAAGGATGTTTGTTCCCAAAAACTCATTTCAGAGCCATTCTCCCCCGGAAGAGAGTTTTTGTCAAAAAAAGGTTTTTCAAAAAACGTGACATCCATACTCACATAATACTTCCCAGATTTAGGATCAAAGCATTTATACCCTTTTTTGTGTTGGTGAAAAACCTAGAAATATGCATTTATGTGCTCGGGGATCGAGTTTTCCTCTATTTTGGCCGTGTATATGAACAAAAGCAATGCAACCAAAAATTTTTGGTGTTAAATCAATGAAAGATCTATTTTTAGGAAACATATTCTTTAGAGCTTGCAAAGAGTAGTATAATTAAGAACTCTTTTAGGCATTCAATTTATCAAATAAGACGCTGTTAAGAGTGCTTCATTCCAAAAACGATTAGGAACATTCATAGCAAACAGTAAAGCCCTAGTCACCTCTAATAAATGCCTATTTTTTCTTTCAGCAACTCCATTTTGTTGGGGAGTATCAACGCAAGAACTGTGATGAATAATTCCTTTTTGTTTCAAAAAATCACCTAAGATTGCATTAAAATATTCTCGACCATTATCGGTTCTAAGAACTTGAATATTTGCTTGAAACTGAGTATTGATCAGTGAGTGAAAATTTTTGAAAACACTTGCTGCCTTGGATTTTTTTTAGTAAATAAATTCACGTGACTCTAGTGTGATCATCAATGAATGTTATGAACCATCTAGATCCTGAGGCTGTTTTTACTCGTGAAGGGCCCCAAATATCACTATGCACAAGAGAAAAAGGTTTTGATGGCATATACTTTAAAGATGGATAAACAGATCTATGATGTTTTGCCAATTCACAAGCTTCACACCGAAAAGAAAAACCGTCCTTTTTTTGAAAAGATTTGGAAACAAATATTTCAAGTAATTAAAACTAGGATGGCCTAACCTATAATGCCACAACATTATTTCATTCTCACAAGACAAGGTAGTAAAGCATCTCGGTTTCTGAACTTGTTTATCTGAAGGATTGTCTGTGACCAAGTGATAGAGTCCATCAACCTCCTTAGCATTGTCAATCATCTTCCCCGAACAAGGGTCTTGAAATTCAAATCCAGCAAATGTTATTGTAGCAATGCATTTGCAATCATGAATAATACGATTAACAGAGATGAGATTGCAAGAGAGCTTTGGGACATGTAGGACATTTAGTAATGTGAGAGATGGAGAAATAATGATAGAGCCTTTTCCAGCTATAGAGGTTAGGGAGCCATCAACAATTTTTACCTTCAGATTACCGGATAAAGGAAAATAAGATGAGAATATGGAGAAATTACCGGTCATTTGATCTGTTGCCCCTGAATCTATGATCCAAGGGTTTGATTTAGAACCGGCTATGAAAGCTGTAGGATATGTACCTTTATGGGCTAATGATGAAGAGACAATATAAGATGATGGGTTAGGAGTGTTGGATATGGAATGAGAACTCATTAGTTGATACAATTGCTCTAGCTGTTCTTTGCTGAAGGCAGACTGTTTTGAGGCAGGTTTTGGCTCTTCAGAAGCATCTTCAGATAAGGCATGGAATCCCTTTGCATTACGAGAATTTCGATTGGCTGAAAAATTCTCGGCTGGCTTCCCGTGTAGCTTCCAACACTTGGCTTTAGTGTGTCTCGGCTTGTTGCAGTGCTCGCAGATTGGTCGATCTCTGTCGTTCCGACGATCGTTGCGACGTGGTGGCTGACCCAAGAACAAGGCAGAAGACTCGGTGGGATTTGGTGAGTGGACTCCAAGCATGACTGTCCGCCGGCTCTCCTCTCGTCTGACTTCGGAAAAGACTTCTCTTGTGCTTGGTAGTGGTTCACGACCAAGAATGCGCCCTCTGACTTCATCCAATTCCTTGTTAAGGCCGACAAGGAATTCGAAGACGCGTTCTTTTTCCACCATCTTCTGGAATAGAGCCTTGTCCTTAGCACAACTCCATTCGTAGTCGCTGAACATGTCAACCTCTTGCCACAAGGTCTTGAGTTCAGTGTAGTATTGAGTGACAGTAGACTTGTTCCGAATAAATCGTGTTTATTTCTGCTGAATATGGCTGACTTAAATAGAGTTTACAATGTAACAACTTTACATAAAAAGATGCATAAAATTAGCAACAAAATAAAAAATGATTCTATCTAATTAAAAATGATCCTATCTAATAACTAATAGAATAAAAAACTGATTCTATCTAATTAAAAATGATCCTATCTAATAACTAATAGAATAAAAACTGATTCTATCTAATTAAAACTGATCCTATCTAATATTTAATTTAGATATTCTCGACACCCCCCCTCAAGCTGGAGAATAGATATCGATCATTCCAGCTTGGACAGAAATCCTTCGAACATCGTAGTAAACAGTCCCTTGGTGAGAACATCGGCAAGCTGCTCTGATGATGGAACAAACGGTATGCAGATATCGCCATTTTCCAGCCTCTCCTTGATGAAATGTCGATCTATTTCGACATGTTTGGTCCTGTCATGCTGTACAGGATTCTGAGCAATATTGATTGCCGATTTGTTGTCGCAATACAACTTCATCGGTTTATCTCCTTCAACTTTCAGCTCCTCCAAGATCCTCCTAAGCCATGACAACTCACATACTCCTTGCGCCATGGCTCTGAACTCGGCCTCCGCACTGCTTCTAGAGACAACTGGTTGCTTCTTGCTCCTCCAAGTAACTAAGTTGCCCTAGACAAAGGAGCAATAACCGGTAGTAGAAATTCTGTCTGTAGAACTTCCGCCCCAATCAGCATCAGTGAAGATCTCCACTCTTCGACTTCCATTCTTCGAAAACATGATTCCTTTACCAGGATTCCCTTTCAAGTAATGAAGAATCCTGTAAACAACCTTGGAGTGTTTTTCTGAGGGACAATGCATAAACTGACTAACCAAGCTCACAACAAATGCAATATCTTGTCTCGTATGAGCCAAATAAATCAGTTTCCCCACCAGCTCTGATACCACTGGAAAATGGCGATATCTGCATATCGTTTGTTCCATCATCAGAGCAGCTCGCCGATGTTCTCACCAAGGGACTGTTTACTACGATGTTCGAAGGATTTCTGTCTAAGCTGGGAATGATCGATATCTATTCTCCAGCTTGAGGGGGGTGTCGAGAATATCTAAATTAAATATTAGATAGATCAGTTTTAATTAGATAGAATCATTTTTTTCTCCTTGTTTTAGCCTCCATAACCGAGTTTTTAGTTCAAACCATTGTCATGCGTTCCCGAGATCAGAATAGGTCTCGTTCACAGCATTCCAAATGTCATGAGCAGTAGGTAGGAAGAGATAAGTTCTCCCTATACTCGGATCCATGGAATTTATGAGCCAAGACATAATCATTGAGTTTTTTGCCTCCCATCTTTCAGATTCTTCATCTTCTTCGGCAAGTTTCGTAGTGGTACATAAGAGATAGCCGAATTTTTCACGGCCACGAATAAACAGTTTCACAGATTGTGACCACTGTAAGAAATTATTTCCATTCAACTTGTGAGAAGTGATGGATATGTTTTGGAAGGATTCAGTGTTTAGGGTGATTGAAGGTGAGCGAGTAGAACTCATAGAGTCGATACCAGAGGTATCATCGTAGGGTTTGGCCATTTTGGCTCTGATACCATAAAGACGGAAAAACTTGTTCCGAATAAATCGTGTTTATTTCTGTTGAATATGACTGACTTAAATAGAGTTTACAATGTAACAACTTTACATAAAAAGATGCATAAAATTAACAACAGAATAAAAAATGATTCTATCTAATTAAAAATGATCTTATCTAATAATTAATAGAATAAAAAACTGATTCTATTTAATTAAAAATGATCCTTTCTAATAACTAATAGAATAAAAACTGATTCTATCTAATTAAAACTGATCCTATCTAATATTTAATTTAGATATTCTCGACAATGTTAATAACAATCCATCCTTCAGGATATCCATAATGATCTTTTGTGGAACTCTATGATTTGTCTTTTTCAAATCTTCCCATGTTTTGATAAGCTGATTTATGCAAGGCTGCGCTTTTACGCCCTGGATTTTTTTATAGCTTTGAACCACCTTGGTGAATCAAATGCCATGTATTTCCCATCCATCATGTACTTCCTCCTTGTGTTAAGAGAGAAGGGAGAGTTTCAATTGTATAAAGTTTCAATTTTAATTATCAAGGAATGAGCTGATGTTTGAAATTATGTTCGTTTATTTGTCTTTCAGCTGGTGGGAGGGAGTTGTCACTGAGAAGAGCAAGAAAGATGAAACTTCATTTACCATCTATTTTCCTGGTATGCATGACCAAATACAACATTTATTAACGTTCTTGATTGTAATCTGCTCAGTAGTAAGGTCTATATAACTTGTACTCTAAGAATAATAAAACTTTTTTTATTGCAGCTCAAGGAGAAGCATCTGTTGTCAAAGCATGGCTTCTTCGTCCTTCTCTGATGTGGAAGAAAGGAAGTTGGGTTGAATGTTCCAGATCTCTTGATAATAATGAGTCTTCCCATGAGGTGATATATACTGATATGTTAGCTTATACTTGATGTTTCTCTCATATACTTAAATTGCTTATACTTCTTGATGTTTCTCTCATATACATAAATTGCTTCTTGGTGCTAAGTCATTGATCTGTTCTTCAGGGTGATACCCAACAGGAAAAACGGAAAAAGTTCAGCATTCCTACTGTTGAGGCCAAAGGGAAAGATAAGCTTTCAAAAAATGTTGACATTAAGGAATCTGGGCAACCTGTTGACACGAGATTGCTGGATTTATCTGCAAGTGAAGAAATATTTAATATTGGTAAAAGCACCAGAGATGAGGGTAAGCCTGATTCACTCAGAATGATATGTACTGGTTTGAAGAAGAAAGCATCAGGAGTGGTTTTTGGGGTTCCTAAGCCTGGAAAGAAGCAAAAGTATATGGAAGTAAGCAAACATTATGTTGCCGATAAGAGTAGCAAGACTCATGAAACTAATGATTCAGATAAGCTTACCAAATATTTAATGCGTCGAGGATCTGAACCCCACGGAACTAAAAATAAAATTGAATCAAAGGAAAAACAAATGGCTGTATCCAAGCCCAAGATGCTCAAGCCCGGAAAACTGCTTAGTGTTTCTAGTAGAAGTATTCCTCAGAAGGATGACTTATCAAGCACTATGGTTTCTGAACATGATAGTGCTGTGGCCTCAGATGTTTCGAAATTGGAGGATTCTATAAGCCATGAGAATGTATCGGGAAAGCCAAACATGATGGAGCTTAGATCATTTCCATCTTCTGATGGGGCAGCAGAGGGGCCCGTCTTATTTTCTTCTATGGCCATCTCACAAGATGCGCCCCCCAAGAGAGCTTCTGCATCAAATGCTAAATCTGAAAGGATTAATAAAGGGAAACTTGCACCAGCTGCTGGGAAGTTGGCAAAAATCGAGGAAGAAGTCTTCAATGGTGATTCACCAAAAACAAGCTCTGATGTTGCTGAACCTCGTAGATCTAATCGCAGGATTCAGCCAACGCCAAGAGTAAGTTAAAAAGATATGATCATTTATCTCATAAGTTATGTTCACTATACTGCAGTATCAAATTTTCTAGATTTTGAAATCAAATTCATATGCTAATAATACTGCTCTTTTTGTGGAAAATGAATTGAAATTTTCTTTACTTGTAAATCGTGTGCCCATCTGAACCTTTGTGAAATGCAAATTCTTTGCTTGCAAATGGGCGACATTTTGCGTAAGATTCCTCGTTTCAGACTCAACGGGGAACAAGTTGGGAAGTAGAAGTTTGCTTGGAATATAGAAACAACATTTCCCTTGTAGGGGAATAGGGATATGAAATTGACAGTTGGCGAAGGTGTTGAATTCTTATTCTACCTACCAATATTGGAATGTAGAGAAATCAACATCGAGTACATTTGACATATTTTTTGGGACCTTACATTTGACATGTCATGTTTGGTTAGACAGATATGCGTCAAAAATATAAATTTGTTACTGGGTTTTACCTTATACTGCTAGGGTATCATGGGCTCTCCATATTCACTTGACCCTAGGAATTCTTTGTTTATCTTCTCCACTTTATATTCTATCTACTACTTGTCTCGGTTCAATGATGAAGAGAATGTAATCAGAAAGAAGGAAACCTGTTATCATCGCTGAGCACATGTATTTTCATGCATTTATTTCAAAAGCTCGTACTTATAAGGTTATGTATCTTTCTTGTTGCTCACAGCTTTTGGAAGGGATTCAAAGCTCATTGACCATCTCGAAGATTCCTGTTTTGTATGACATGAGTCACAAAAGTCAAAGCAGAAGTACCAGAGGTGAAAGTTAAATTTCTGAATCAATATTACCGTCCTTTTAGTATCCTTTGTTTTCAAATATACAATGATACATGTAATGATAAGTGTCTGGAAAACAACAGGAAATAACCAAGGTTGAGAGCAGCTAAATGAATCCAGTCTCGAAGAAATTCAGAGATTATTGGGGAACCAACGTACAGAAGTGTAGCTTGTGTAAATTATCAGATGATAGAGGAGAAAGCTAGGAATGAAAATTGCTTCTTTGGCTTTTTTGTTGTAATTAGTTTTATTTAGGAATATTAGAATTTGATCTCTCTAGGCCATGCTCATCTAGCTTTTGTATATGGAACGTCCAAGTAGTTAGGCTTGGTATTCGCAGAGCAGCATTGCAAAGCAATATCGACCCATGTATATTTGTTGCATCTAACTGCTCATATGCTTATTATCCAGGCATCTTGGTTCTGCAATTGGGGTTTCTTCTAGTTTTGTGTTGCTCCAAAAGGATTCAAAATAAATATCAGAATTCAAGCCATTATTCTTCTGTGTTGTTTATCCAAGAACGGGTACGTGTGTAAGATTCATTTATGTGCAAATCATGGAAAAAAGGTTCCCCTGAATCCCGAGCATAGAGCACGTGAATTAAGTGATCTAATTAATTATTCAAAAACAGGAGTTGGATTTATTATCCAAAACTGGCTCTTCTTCGTTGCTTCTCTCTCCCTTGCTCTTTGATTTCCTCACTTGATCCGACTCGGGATCTCCATTCTTTTTACAGATACAAGAATATGGAAATTAATGAAATTCACCACGTATTTGTTGCACCGCCTTCACTTTTCAAAGGTGTCCCAAGAGCATTAGTCTGGTCCAAATTTCACAATTTAAAATTAATTCAACGGATAAAGTTCTAAGTAGACATAAGGTTAGCATATAATATATATATATGCAAGATATGGGAGTCTACCACACATTAAAAAAAAGCATGATACAAGAAATAGCTAGATTTCTCACCTTCGACCTGGCAAGAATCCTTTCATATTTCCATTATTATTGGTGACAAATACATTACTTTCATCACAAACAATGTATTCAATGGCAGCAAGGCGAGAATAGAAATGAACGGAAGGCTTCAGCTCTTCATTGGCAAGCCTCTCTTTTGTATAGATGAAAGCCTAATAGAATTGTTTGTGGCATTCTTATTTTCTTTGCTTACTATTTCTTTCCAGCGCAGACAACAACTTCTATCGTCTCTCTTCTTGTTTAAATTCCTCTTATTGACACAAAGATAATGGAAGTCTTGATAATTTGAAGCATTCTATGCAATTAATTTCACAAAAAAATGCTCAATTTACACCCCTTATATATACAACTCAGGGAATGAAGAAGCAAAAGAAAGTTCAATCTACACCACTTAGTTAATTGCTTAGCTTAGAACTTTGTTTAACAAGTAATTAACATAAACATCAGAAGAAAAAATATTTGTATCAGATAACACTATGTGATCCATTACATTTAAAAAAAAGACACAATTTCAGATAAAACCAACATACTTGAGCAGAGTAAGCATCCCTGCTATGATTGAAATGTGCTTCTTAAATCTTGCTCCAGTGAAGCGATGACAAAAGAGATGAACATACATATAATAGGAATTATATAATGCATGTAACTTTTTAATTTTTATAATATTTTTATTAGACATAAAAGTTAAAGTCTTGACGTGGAAATATCTGAACATTTTTCTTTTGTTTCAAAATAGATCAAAATAGAGACTTTGAAGAAAGACACAAAATTGTCCAGATACCGTGACGAATTTTTTATCTTCCGTGTAGGGTGTATAGAGAATAATATTTTAATTATTGTGATTCTTACAGTACTTATCGGAGGATAGTCAGACGATACGATGTTTTTTTCCTAACTGTATGTACACTTAAAAGCTTAGAACGATAGTCTTATCAAATACATCATGTCGTTTGGATGTTTTCTAGAAAACAATATATTGTCCGAACGTCTTCAACGAGTATTGTCACAATTATACTAAATCAGAAAGTATCTCTACTGAAATTTAAATGTTTTTTTTTTCCGATCTCATTGTTGAAAAATTCGCCGAAGAAAGGTATTAGTATAAAATATGATGATTGGACTGTGAAAACAGAAAATACTATGCGGAGACATGCGGGGTGAAATGCGCTGTCCTAAAAAATCCAATAAAACATTACTCTTCTAATTTCATTATTAATTAATTACTTCATTCAAAACATTATTAATTAGTTAATCATGATTTGGTTGAATTTTGTACCCTCCTCAAAGCACTAATGGGCATCTTGCCAATTGATTCATCATCAATATCAGTTTTATAATTCTCAAAATCCCATTCACCCTGACATCGTCGATGACTGCTTGCGGTTGTAGGGTAGTTTATCTTCCATTCATAAATTTTGATTTTTAGGATCAACTATCAAAATATTGCTCTCTTTATATTTTCATTTATTTTTTATCAATAATTTAAAAAAATATTATTTTAAATATTTACATCATCGATTTAAAATGTTTTAATTGTCGAAGCGTTAATATCATCAGTTAAATAAAGTGACATGTTAATAAACAAAGTTTACTTTTTATTTCACTCTAAATTTTAATAAAATATGAATTTGACTTTTAAAATTTGATAAAATATCAATTTGATATTTTAACTTTAAATAAAATATTAATTTGACCCATAAATGTTAGTAAAATATCAATTTGACCCTTATACATTAGATAAAATATCAATTAACTCTTGAATCCAATCAAACTTACTCATTACCAACCGTCGCTCACCATCGTCATCATCATCACCATTGATCGTCCCTGCCGCGATTGTTGGTCCTTAAAATTTCTAACTCACTCATTTTTACCTCCTAAATGCGAATTCAATGACCATTATATTAAAAAAAATACCATGGACTCCACAAATCTATTAAACTTTTGATTTCTTTTAAAATTAAATTATAACAATAAATTCATCAATAATATTCTTTTAAAAATAAGAACATTAAAAACCTAAATCTATATCATAATCAAATTTATAACTTTCTTTTGTTTATAATGATACAAATGAGATAAAACACTGATTTGACTAATTCTTTTAAATTCAAACTTGAAACTAATTCGGGCCAACTTAGAATAATTTCTTTTTTAAAAATAAGATTTACTGATAATAAAGTTCAGAATGTTTATTTCTTTAATACTCATAAAATTTAAATGTGCAAATATTAAATATATGGTATAATAAAAAAAGAATATTTAAATCGTATTAATAAATAATTTAAAAGAACATTGTAGCACCACCAACCTACCCGACCCGGATACGAGTCCGAGATGTCACATTGACTTTTCAAAACATTTACTTGTACAAAATAGTGAATACTTTAAAACTTTCACTAAATAAAACTGAATAATTTACAAAAATTATTTAGCGCATAACATATTCAAATCTTTATTTACATGCCGACACAATCAGTATTACAAAATACATACCATTCAAATCTTTTCTGATCTAATCTTTGGAAAGGAGAAATTGACATGTCTTGCTTAACTTTTATCATTCTTCCTCTTCTCGGAACCTACGTGTGAAACAATCACACGCTAAGTCGATGACTTAGTGAGGCATATAAAGCATATAATAGAAACATAGAACATTTCATATAACAAAATGCTTACATGCACATATGCCATCATTATCATGATCTCTATCATTCTCAACATCAATATCATTATCATGTAATACATTTCACTCATCAATATACACATTATCATATATAAATCTTGTAATATATTTCATATAACAAAGCATATACATCACATATAGTGTATTTATGTTATCTCTTTAATAGTCCATGTATTATTCCATGTATACTTTTGATATCTTTTGTAGGCCCATATACAATACTGATATCTTTTATAATCCCATGTACATTACTGAGAACTCAAGGTATGTGAGTATTATAGGTTGTGCAACATATGCTGTCACCACAGCTCGTATAAACTGTGTCCCGAAGGACCTATCATTCCGAAGGATGTCATCTGTGTCCTGAAAGACCTATCATCCCAAAGGATGTATGTGTCCCAAAGGATCTATCATCCCGAAGGATGTATGTGTCCCGAAGGACCTATCATATGTCTTATAGGACATATGTAACCCTCGACTCTTGGCATGCCAACTATACCCCTAGCTCTCATATCACATAACATGGGCATCATCATTTATTATTGTTCACATCACTTGTATTATTCTTGTATGATCTCATAGATCATTGTATAACATTATTGTATAATCTCATAGATCTCTTTTCATATAACCCATATCACATAGGTTCATATCATATCAAATATATCACATGTGCATATAATCATATAGATCATATCATATAGCTTATATCATTTCTCATGTGTTCATATAAACACGTATTTCATATATTGCTCACATATGAATGTATTCACATATATTAGATTCATGTATCTTATATTTTATTCTCATTGCTCACATCAATCATGTCTCATAAAATAACATGTCAAACATATACACAACTGATATGATATTCTCATATATTCATGTAGTCAGTATCAAATATCGCATATGTAACATGTAATCATGTCACATATAATAACATATGACACATAATGCATACATGCATAAATACCATCATATCAATCACATACTTGTACTTATGGAATCATGCATGGGAAATAGACTTATCGCAAATCCTACTCAATGATGTATAAAACTTCCATATATAATGTTATGCATACATCATAATTCAAATAATATTTTAGGGGTCACTTCTTACCATAGTAACTCCGTCACTGGCTCATCGCAAGCCAATCTTTATTCTATAACATAGGTACAAATTAAATTTCACTCACCTTAACACTTTATATATCCAAAAGATATTCCTCACTATAATCCACAATAATCTTTTTATACTTTACTTGTCTTTGTCACAAATCAATCACGATCTGTACAAATCACAATTTCATAACGATACATATGTTAGTATTGTACTAACATAAACACATCTCCAAAACAAAATCCATAAGATACTTGAAACCCATTTTCTATCAAAATACTTAACACTTAATAATTCCTTTTAATATTGGCACTAACTTTTCCAATTTACACAAAATGATCATTCACTATTTTATCACTTAAATTTTAAATACCAAAAATTCCAGTATTTCCAGAAATTCATGAAATTCCAGAAATTCAAGAAATTCTAGAAATTCAAGAAATTCCAGTACTGGAATTATTACCAACCAATTACTTTTACAAAGGTACAATTACCTTTGAGCACCCCAGATATGTAAATGTTGCACTTAAATCACTAATCCTTCCAAACTTCCAAAATGGTTACATTTCACATCTAAATGATCAGTTTAATCCCAAAACAATAATTTCCAGCATATTACATCAACTATTAAACAATTATACAAC